AAAAGCTTATAAAAAGGTGGAAAACCTCTCAATTCAGTTAGTGTTTCAAGAGTTTTGTTTAGAAAACTGCTCTTGTTGACTGTAGCGAATTCGCGGACTAGCTTTCTCTAGCTGTTTTTGAATTAAGTTCTATTGAACATTTGAGTAGTTAAAAGATAACTACTGTGAGATATTGCACTATTATACGAATATGGGAGGAAATTTAGGCAGTTTGTTTTATTTGTGATAATAATAAATCTTATTAATTTTTCATCGGACTTCTGCATTCAATTCATAACGAATCCGTACGCACGCAACAATATATATAACAACATTTTGCTATCTACCATACATGGACTGAATGTTCTTATACCTAGGTAAAGGATTGTTTGGATTATGAAAAAACTGACTAAAGATGGAAGGGGATGCCTTCCACACAGAAAATTTTCTAAGGGAAACTGTACCATACTTACTTTGCTCACGGAGATAATCACGAAAACTGCTATACAAGCAACCCATTCACACGGATTTGAATTCGAAGGACATACCTGGTGACACTGAATAGCGTAAAAGAATTGAATCTTGGGCTATAAAGAAAGTCCGAAAGAATTATAAAAATACTGTGGAATGGGAGAGCAGAATTTAGAAAATTTTAATCTAAACTTCAAAACTTTTATCATGTTCGCAAGAAAGCATGCTACAATACTAGAGTCTTATTACGACAAATACTTATTCTATTAAATAAAACAGGGCGTTATATTGAGAGCTTTATTCTTTTACATATAATTTTTGACAGAATCGAAGAAAGAACAGTAGATCTTACAATTTCATGAAATGTTGATCAAAATGCTCTTTGGATGTATTTCTGCTTTAGAAACATCTAAAGAAGTATTGGGTGCAGCATTAAAAATACGAAAGTTTCTTCACCGAATTCTTACCTATGATATATTTTCATATCTAATATTCTCAAAAAAGTCAGTCTTTGTTGCATTTCAGAAGTCTGTCACATATAACAGCACAACAAAGCAAAATTTTTGTTTTGCGAAATTCTTACATCGCTATCTTGTTGTGTTGTTGTGACTTATCCCAAATGATCGACGGTAACATCAGATCAGGTCTTTGAAATCAGAGCGAAATCACGAAATTCATCGTGGCAACGGGTTAAGATTGCGCCTGTCGTTGCCAAGAGCTGTGGGCATCATACAGGTGACAGTTAAACTTTCCCAGTTCCACCCCCCCCAATTTTGATGGAGAGCACCCCTGGGGAAGGGTTCAAGGCTTTCGCACCCCTCTTTCCCTACCAACAGTCTCCCGAGAGGACTTTCGGCTCGCCACATATTTAGAGTGCCCCAATGGTGCCCAGACACTATACATTTACAAACATCTATGTCTTTTCCTGGTTTGGAACCTGCGTCCTTCGGTTCGGCAGTCAACGTCGCTAACTACTGTTCTGGTTGGGCTGCACATCGATATCTTCATGTCTATTGATATAGGCAAGTTGCGGAAAGGCTTGTGGATAGTGACTATTGATAGGCTGAGTACTGTTCCTAAATCCTATTGTTTGACATGGATCTGTTCAACTATGACACAGGTCATCCATTGCTGATATTAGTAGCACAAGTCATCGGATGCTGATGTCAGTGACAGTTTGACCCTTCAGCTGATGATTAGAGCTATCCCTAGTATGTAAGTTTTGACATTTAAGATAAATTTAGCTTAGTTTCAGGTCAGATTTTTTATTAATTTAGCCTTCGAGGGATTTTAATTTAATCATATAGAAACAAGTAAGCTTTTTATTTCCTCTTAAACTGTATCCCGTAAGGAGCGGTGGATAAGTTTTGTAATTTTTATTCCCTATAAGATAATAGCGTTCAATAAAAATTTTATTTGTTACTAAGTTCAGATAGTTATTGAATTTTTCTAGAAGTTAAGTAAAGACTTTATTTAAGACTTTTAAAGTCTAGTTTTAATAGAATAAGTTAAATTGGTAACTAAACCCTACAAGCTTGAATGACGTTTAATTTTTAGAAATAAAGATTGTCGTTGTAAATTCAAGAGACAACAATCACTCTTCTACGATTTTGAAATACTTTCTCTTTCTTTTTCTCCTTAACATCTACCACAAACTAATGCGCAGTTCGTCACCCATCCTTTTATGTACTTGTTTATCTGCATATACGTTTATGTACTTGTTTAATCTGCATATAGCGACAACTGCATAGGGCAACTAATCGTTGACAAGCTATGCAGATTTGCCGTGTACATTATAATCTACCCAGTATTGTTTCGATGATGCAAATTACTACTTAGATGAGCGATAGCACAATTTCGTTTAACATTGATCTCATAATTGCCGAAAATGGATCGACTCCTCGCTTTCAACGTGCAATATGTGTTAAATACTTCAAAGATTTAAAATGTTTTTCGAGCATTGATAATTTTTTATTCAATAAAAACTGTGTAAGACTGATATTATTTTATCACCGACTATCATTCCGTGTTATTTATAGCATTCATAGAAGGAAAAAAAAAATTAATTCCTTATTCTGAAAAAGTGTATTGTAACTTTTTATTGTAAACATGTGCAATACAGTGGACTTCTTTTAATGCATATAATAAAAAAAGGCAGCTTTTTTTACCTATACAAACTGGAGTTCGCGTCAAAGAAAAGGCATACACAGCAATATTTAAAATTTCAAATTATTCATCTGAAACTTGAAAAGTGCTGCATCTTTATAGATATAAGCGGCTAAAGTGTGTGTCGCCGATAGTTTATTGTTGCCACTCGGAAAATTAACTGCGGAAATTAACGTTTCCGCAGCATTTAATTAATATCTCGACCGATTACAGTCGTACGAAGATGAGAACGGTATCGATGGATTCGGAGAATTTTTTTGAAGTTGAACCTCTACCTGATTATTATCTTTATTTTGATGTAATTTAGTAAATCGCCATTGGCAACAGTTGAGTTTTTTTTCATCTACGTTTTCGAGTTTGTTCTATTGTTTACTTTCGTTTTAAGTAATGAGAAAAATGACTTTTTGAGATGTTTTTCATGAGTATTTAAAAACTGATGAGTAATAGTTTATGCCATTTATGTTCTGAGTATTGCTTTGAGGTGTCAAAGCTAAAACTAACACTTAATTAGCTTTTAATTAATATCTCGGCCGATTAAAGTCGTACGAAGATGAGAACGGTATCGATGGATTCGGAGAATTTTTTTGAAGTTGAACCTCTACCTGATTATTATCTTTATTTTGATGTAATTTAGTAAATCGCTATTGGCAACAATTGAGTTTTTTTCATCTACGTTTTCGAGTTTGTTCTATTGTTTACTTTCGTTTTAAGTAATGAGAAAAATGACTTTTTGAGATATTTTTAATGAGTATTTAAAAACTGATGAGTAATATTTTATGCCATTTATGTTCTGAGTATTGCTTTGAGGTGTCAAAGCTAAAACTAACACTTAATTAGACTTGTAAATAGAATCGTAATATTAAACTGTTTGTGTTGTGACGAGATGTCTTTCATTGGATAATTGATTGTATACTCATTTTCCATTATAATTCTTCTGATATCGAAGGTAAAACGGGATATATGGCGTCCAAGAGACAGGACTACGGCTGCATTTTTAAGAGTGAGTGAAAAAATATTTTATATTTTCTTCTATTCTTTGTGCATTATGGATATTGTTTTGAAAGATAGAAAGCAACTTAGAAGGTTGTTTACTCGAGCATGTAATACTTTTGATGAGGAAGAAATCAAATTAAATCGTGCTGATAAAATTAATAAATTAAAGCTAATTGAAGAGAAAGCTTTATTAATGATAGCATGTGAAGAGAAATATAAACATTTGTTGTATTCTGAAAATACTTCCGATACCGAAATAGAGAAAGCGGTAGATGAGTCAAGAAATGTATATTGATCGATGGAGATCTTTAAAACAGAAGCTAGAAACACTAGTGAGTGAACAATTATCTTCTAAAAATGAAAATTTGAACATTGTTTCGCAGCCGAACACTTTATTACGTTACCCAAAAATAAAATTACCTACTTTTGACGGTAGTGTACGAAATTGGCTATACTTTTGGGGGTCAGTTTCAAAAAATTGATGAGGACATTAATATCGATTTTCACGATAAATTTTCGTATTTATCTCAAGCAATGGAAAAAGGCAGTCCTGCTGAGAAATTAATTAAGAGCTATCCCCCAGGGGGTAATAGTTACGAAAAAGCTTTAAAACAGCTGCTGAAAATGCGTTTCGACAGAGAGGAACTATTGATTCAGGTATATGTCAGAGACTTATTAGTATTAGTTCTTCAAAAACGAAACATTTCTAAAAATTCATTAAGAAAATTGTTCGATCAACTTGAGAGTAAACTGCGATCACTTGAATTATTAGGTGTTACTAGGGAAAAATATGCTGCAATGTTTTTTCCACTAGTTGAATTATCATTACCCGAAGAAACTCTTGTTGCTTGGGAGCGCTATAGATCTGCTCATCGTAGAATTCGAGAAGTTCTGAATCGTTAGATGATTCAGAAGCGAAAGTAAAACTATAATTGAGAAAAGTGATTTAGAATGTATTTTAGAATTTTTACAAGCCGAAGTTGAAGCTGAAGAACGCACTTTTCTAGCCTCTCAAAGTTTCAATACATTCGAAACCAAAAGTCAGAAGTAAAACATAATCCTTTTCCTATGAAGAAAAAAGGTGAATAGAGAAAACAAATTTGAAGAGTAGGAAAGTTTTCAAATATACCTAGTGCAACAGACCTTCTAACTTCATCTCAAGTATCAAAACAGTGCATATTCTGTTCTAATTCACATTTTTTCTGGAGACTGTCTAAAAGTAAAAAAAAATACCTTTAAGGCAGAGGGAGTCACTGGTTCAACAATCTCACAAGTTTTTTTTATGTTTGAAATCTGGACATTCAGTCAAGGATTATAACTTGAAAGTTGGTTGCTTGTGTTGTGGTAAAAAACACCATATTCTTCTGTGTAGAAAGATGCACGAAATAACCATGTCAAAAAACGAAGAATCACCTGAAGTTGAAAAGAAAACTGAGATTAGTGCTGAAGTGGATCAAGCTCTTTCAAATTTATCTTCTACTCTGGACGTAATGCTTCATACATTCAAAGTTATAATTAGAAGTAATGGGAAAAAACGCGTCGCAAGAGCTATTATCGATACTGCTTCACAGTGATCATATTTATCAAGAAGTACAGCTAAAGAAATGAACTATGAACCTCAGAGTTGTGAATATTTACAACACTCTTTATTTGGAGGGAAGGACTCAGGGATATGCAAGCATGATGTATACACTTTATATTTATCGAGTGTGCATGGGATTTATAATTGCAACTTTAAAGTTCTTAGTCAACAAATTATTTGTAAGTCAGTGCCACCTACTGTCAACAAGCTTTGTCTGAAAGAGTTAGCAGCCTATAATATAAATATTGTGGATGATTGTCAAAATCCTATTGAGATTCTTATTGGGGCTGATGTAGCTGGAAAACTCATGACAGGTGGTCGTCGTGAGTTGTCTTGTGGTCTCGTAGCTATTGAGACCAAATTTGGATGGTCAGTTATGGGACGCATGCCGAATACTTCGAAAAGTGAGTTTCATCATCGTTCTTAGTTACGTCCTTGTTATCTACTGTGGAGACCATAACAGATCTATGGACTTTGGACACACTTGAGATCACTGACCCATCTGTCAAGAAAAACCAGACTGAACTACAAGAAGCTGCTCCGTTACATTTTCTAAATACAGTTCGTATAGTCGATGATCGTTTCGAGGTTGATTTGCCCTGGTTGGAATATCATCCACCACTAACAGACTATTTTGACTTAGCCGAGAGAAGGCTGAACAAAACTGTTAAACGTCTTAAAATCGAGTCCAATTATGAAGCTTATGGGGATGTTTTCAAGGAATGGCTAGAAGAGGGAGTAATTGAAGAGGCTGATAAAAATTATCAAGGGCAAGTTCTTTACCTTCCTCATCGAGAAGTTATCAAAAAGAATAGCACTACAAAACTCCGACCGGTATTTGATGTTTCGGCCAAAGTAAAGGGATTTCCTAGTCTTAATGACTGCTTAGAAAAAGGCCCAAATCTAATAGAACAGCTTCCGAGTATTTTAACACGCTTTCGAAAAGAAAAGATTGGTGTTATTACTGATATACGAAGAGCCTTTCTTCAAATAAGTGTTTCACCTACTGATAGAGACTTTTTGCGGTTCTTATGGCTTGATAGTGATGGTCAACTGAAAGTGTACAGGCACTGCCGTGTAGTTTTTGGTGTAGTAAGTAGCCCTTTTCTTCTAAACTCTGCTATTCAGCTTCACCTACAAACTGTTTTAGAGAAAATAGAAACCGGTGAATCCTTATATACGAAAGGTGTCATTCAAAAACTTATGCATAGTTTTTATGTTGACAATTGTGTCAGTTGTGTTAAAAATGAAGAACTCAATCATTTTATTAGTGTATCAACTGAGGTAATGGCTGAGAGAAAATTTGAGCTTAGAGGGTGGGAGTTCAATGATATTAATGCTGATGCTTCTGCTGATACAAATGTGCTCGGTTTAATATGGAATAAAAAATCATGACACTCTAAGAATAAATATTGATAGTATAAAAGAGTTATGTTTTGAAAAAGTGACTAAGCGCTTAATCTTATCTACAGCTCATAGATTGTTTGATCCTCTTGATATATGTTGTCCTGTTATCCTTATCCCTAAGTTATTACTTCAAGAAACTTGGAAGCAGAAGATAACATGGGATGAAGAAGTTGATAACTGTACGAGAACTACATTTTTAAAATGGTTGAAAGATATTGACTATCTGGAAAAGATCCATTTTCCAAGATATTTTGGTTCAAGGAGTACGAGTGAAAATACTTCAGTACATATTTTCTGTGATGCCAGTAAGCAATATGCCGTGGCTGCTTTCATTCGTATAAAACCTTTTGATTCTACTAAAGTACAACTGATACAAGCCAGGAGTAGAGTTACACCAACTGGAAAAGAAGAAACTACTATCGCGAGATTGGAATTACTTACAGCTAATATAGCGTGTCGCCTTTCGTCCTCAATTTTGTCTGAGATACAGAGTGAAGAAGTTTACTTCTGGACTGATTCTTCTACTGTTTTAGCATGGATAACGAGAGAAGAAGCCTGGAGTGTATTTGTCCAGAATAGGTTGAAGGAAATACGAAGACTAACAAATAAAGATTCTTGGAGACATATTCCTGGTTGCATGGATCCAGCTGATCTTCCGAATAGAGGTTGTTCAGCTCTCTCCTTATTGAAATCTCAGTGGTGGTTAGGTCCAAAGTTGGCTTTACTTGCCTGAAGAAGATTGGCCTAAAAGGTGACTTAAATTTAAATGAGACTGAGATTGTTAGAGAAAAGAAAAAGAGCATAGTTTCTTCTGTAACTAAATGTTTAGTTTCTGCATGCTTGGTTACCAAGAGAGACTGGTATTACAGATATTTTTCCAAGTACAAAAGGATAGTTAATCTAATTGCCTGGATCCTAAGATTCACTTCCTACAATTGTCGATCTGAAAAAATTGAGAGAAAACATGAAAACCTTGATTCTGATGAAATTTTTGAGGCTGAGAAGTTATTGATCAAAAATGGTTCAAGAAGACTGTTTTGTGAATGAAAAGGATGAGAAATTAAGAAACTTTAGGAGTATTCAAGGATCAAAGTGGAATCCTCAGACTAAAAATCTAAACTTACCTTTCGAGAGTGAGGATACAGAAGACTTTAAAACGCCAGCTATTCTTCCATCCAATCATGAGGTTGTTAAGAGACTAGCGCGATACTATCATGAGAAAAATGCACATGCTGGTACTCAAATTTTGATAAATATTCTACGAGAGAGATTTGGATTCTGAATGCTCGTAAAACTGTGAGATCTTTCATCAATCAATGCACCGTGTGTAGAAGATTTTCTGCAAAGAACCTAGAAACTTGTACTGGGGCTCCTCCAGAAGATAGATTACGAGAAGCAGCTGTATTTGAAATCTGTGGAGTTGATCTTGCGGGACCAGTAATCCTGAAAGGCAACAAGAAATCTTGGATTTGTTTATTCACCTGCGCCATTTATAGGGCAGTCCATTTAGAGTTGGTTGAATCGATGTCTACTGAGAGTTTTCTACTAGCTCTTAGAAGATTTATAGCTTGTAGAGGACGGAGCAGAATCATATACTGTGACAACGGAACCAATTTTGTTGGTGCTTCAAATGTACTTCAAGACTTAAACTGGAAGTAAATCACTGAAGACACATCTATACCACCAATTCAGTGGAAGTTCAACTCACTGCCTTCTGGTGGGGAGGCTGGTGGGAGAGATTGATAGGAATTCTTAAGAAATTGCTGAGACGAGTATTAGGAAGAGCTTCGCTAACTTTTGAAGAAATGAACACGACTCTCTGTGATTGTGAAGCAGTAATTAATTCCCGTCCATTGACATATATAACTGAAAGTGATGCTACTTTAATGCCTTTAAGTCCATCTTTGTTTCTGCAAGATAATCAAATAAGTGGTGTTCCAGATCTTGATGACATTGGGCATAAAAGTCTTAATAAGCGAGTCAAATATAGAGAAAACTTGCAAAAGGATTTGAGACAGGTTTAGGTCTGGATATTTAGGAGCACTTATTCAAAAAGCAGGAAACAAAAAATCTGTGAAAGTGAATATTGGTGATATTGTATTGATAGGAAGTGATAACACCAAGCGAATCAATTGGCCATTAGGTAAAATAATTCAGATTCTTCCAGGAAAAGATGGAATTACAAGACTTGTCAAGCTTAAACAGCTAATGGACACTTGCTGAGGCCAATTCAAAGATTGTATCCACTTGAAGTTTCCAACGATGATCCCATTATTGAGAAATTTTCAACCGCGAAGGTGGGACGTGAAACCTGTGCCAATTCTTCCTTTGATAACGTGTGTGGACTTGAACCTCAGATTCAAAAGACTAGAGCAGGTCGTACAATCAAAGTACCTAAGAGACTGGACTTATGAACTACTTATAATTTTCTTTTTGTAACTTATAAAATATTCACAATTTTCTTTTGTAAGTTAAATTTTTGAGGTAAAAATATTAACTTAGGTGGGAGGATGTGAAGTCGAACCTCTACCTGATTATTATCTTTATTTTGATGTAATTTAGTAAATCGCGATTGGCAACAATTGAGTTTTTTTCATCTACGTTTTCGAGTTAGTTCTATTGTTTACTTTCATTTTAAGTAATGAGAAAAATGACTTTTTGAGATGTTTTTCATGAATATTTAAAAACTGATGAGTAATATTTTATGCCATTTATGTTCTGAGTATTGCTTTGATATGTCAAAGCTAAAACTAACACTTAATTAGATTTGTAAATAGAATCGTAATATTAAACTGTTTGTGTTGTGACGAGATGTCTTTCATTGGATAATTGATTGTCTACTCATTTTCCATCATAATTCTTCTGATATCGAAGGTAAAACGGGATATTTTAATTAATATCTCGGCCGATTAAAGTCGTACGAAGATGAGAACGGTATCGATGGATTCGGAGAATTTTTTAGAATCCGAGGATACGTGTCTCGAGTTTTAACTTGGTGCCGTTCCGTAGATATTCGAGAAAAAAGAATGTGGCACGTAGCCAAATCCCTCTAATAGCGTTTTTTTGTCAGAAGTGTGTTACCGAGGGTAAAACACCTTTCTCACTGGTTTGGTAACAGAAAAGTGTCACGAGAATCTACAGAAACTTGATTCTCAGTGTGATAATTGTCTCAATAATAGTTGCTGTCAACAATGCTCTTTTTTGCTGATAGCTATATGGAATAACAGTCCAAGGTGCTTGCTAGCTTTCTGAATAAAAACGCTTCTTCAACTAACTTAATGTGTTTCTTTTTTTACGAAATGGACAATATTTCCTTGTTATACTTCTTAATATTTACTTTCATTATAAAATGATCATTTTGACATTTTTAGAAAAAAAAAAAAAAAAAAAAAAAAAAAAAAAAAAAAAAGGATGTAATTCGGGTTTATGGTAAAGCATATTTTTTAATAATGCCAAGGAAATTAAATCTTTATAAAAAATGTAAAATAAATCTTCATAAGAATACCAAAGAATTGCAACAATAATATGCACTAATATTCTTAAACAGAATTCCTTAAACTGTTATTCTGTAAAAGATTTATGCAAAAATCATCATAATAATAATCGAAAAAGGAAGAAAAGCATAAAAAAATATGATGTTGAATTTCACCAATAAAGCTTTATTGATCTGCATTCATTCCCATTTCAAATCTCTATTGTCGTTACATTTCAGGATACAGCTGAATAAAATATTACTTTTGTTATTTATAGTTAATAAAAAAAAAAAAAAAAAAACAAGTATTTTACGTAAAATTTTAACATTCTTGCCTTCACAAAATCTAAAGCAGTTCTTTTCTAGGCAACTTGAAATTAAATTACTGCATTAGTCGTAGTGCAGATAAGACCAGTAAAAAGGCAAGAGAATACTTTTATGCACGTTCCTCTTTTTATTTAGAAATTCCCGGGGCATTTATGATCAGATCCGTAGATCTGCGGTGAAAAAAAGAAGAACAGAAGCAACTTCTAAACCTGCAATCGATTTGCCTCAATAAGAACGGTGGAAATTTAGCCAATCGAATTAGGCTTAGGAAAGAAAAGGCAGACGAGGTTTCTCTTTTTGTCCTTTTTGGTTTACAGATAATGTTGTTATTGCGGTGGAACTTTAGAAGAGCTTTATTCTTGGGAATGTTTTATTGCTTTTGTTTTCCTCGACAGAAACAAAATCGAAAATTTGTCTACTTTTTCTGTACTTTTTTTTTTTTGGAAAACTTTAGAATGGAGTAAAATATATTGTATAAGAATATTTGCTATTTACATCAAAGCAATGTTTTTTAGATACAATATAATAGAAATAACACGCACACAAGAAATTATTCTTTATCTTCCTTAGGATCCAATGAAGTTTCACACAGTTAGAGGACTGTGCATGGACTGCAGAAACATTTATTATAGAATTTTAATTTTCCGATTGAAGGCATTTCGAATAACTAATAGAAGCTTGGAAAGAAATACGGATATAAAATATCTTGTTAACTTATATGAAATGGAAATTTTTAAGCCTAATTTTACAGCTTATTTGGTTAAGTATAATACATATTTAAAGGGAAAAAAAAAGCTAACCTTAGCTTAGATTAAATTTTGAATAGATTTCACGGGCGATCAGATATATGTCCTTCTTCTTCAGGAGCAAAAGTATATTTTGCCTGTGACCTCCACATGGCCACAAGAAGACGAGTTTCACGGTTTACTCTGTAGAGACATTAGGATAATTGGATAAGCCGGAGAGATGAAAAATCAGAAACCGCCTTCGTCGGGAATCGAACCACGGACTCTGGAATACCAGTTCAGTGTGCTGACCACTACACCACGAAGGCACGCTAGGAAGGTGGGAGAAATACTTCATAACTCTTTGCAGAAGACTATGTGAGAGAAGTCTTTTGCAAAAAAACCCTGCTGTTTACGTTACTCTCATTTTTGAGAGAGTCTGTTTAGCGTGGGACAATAAAACATCGATTTTGGATTACCTGATTGTCCTCTTCACAGATGAGTTTCGTTACAATCTAATAACTGGTTCTGGATGTACCTTCTGGAGGGAACCAGGAGCCCGCTACCTGTCCTTCTTCATCCTAGAAAGGAACTAGTATGCAGTGGATGTTAGATGGTCGGGTCAAGGATCATGTTGGACAGGCGCGCAGATTCGTGTTATGTTAACAAGACATTGAACTTAGAACTCTACACCGAATTCTTGAGAGCAAGATTACTTCCTGATGCCGCTATGAACACTGGATTCAAGACACATGGTTTTAGCAGGATGAAGCTTCTGAACATTCTCAACACACGATGTCCTGGGTTTCACAAATCACTATAACAGTCGTGCCATCGCAACAGCCTAGTGGAATCGCTTTGACGAAGAACTTTGCTTGATTACCTTCCCAATAGCTCTGATTTATCACTACTTGACATTTCTTATGAAACTGTATTATTGATAAAGTCTACATAGATCTATTGCTCTTGTTATCGAGAACTTCCAGTTCAGACTTCACTCTGAATTCGTCTCCAGTTAACAACATTTAAAAAAATTCATTTTTTACTCATATACATTTTGATTCTGATGTATAAATTCGGAAAATTTGAAATAAAAGTGTTTTTGTCGTTCAGAAGTTATTCAGTTTTTACCAGTGTCAAACAACCTATATTCTACACGAATATTTTTGCATCTGAAAGAAGAAAAACTTGCCGTAGATTCCATACAAT